TATGCGATTTAATAAATGGAGATTTTAGACATTTTATTTATTTTATTATTTTGGAAAAATGCGGGTGTTACACTATCAAATTGAAATTTGAATGTTACATTATAGCATCACACTATTGCTAGTAATATGCATCAAAACGTAAGGCTTAAGTTTCTATCTCCACTAATTTTAAGTGGTATGACGTATTCTTTGCCTTTAGATCCTCCATAAGTTGAAAAAAATAACTAATATTGATGGATAACGATTCGAGTTTCACTCTGTATTTTATTTATTTAATTTTGTATGCGTTTGTGCATCATGGGGCTTTTGTGACATGACAAGTCAAATTATTTTAGTATTCAAATTTTTTTTTTAGTATTCAAAATTCTCATACTTTAATTTGCTTGTGTCCCCTGTCGGTACTCACTTAAAAACTGTAAAACTCGATTAATATAATAAAAGCACCTTTATGTAATACGACACAAAGAAAAAAAAGTTAAGCATGATCGTTTGGAGCAGCCAAAGGTTGCCATGCTACTTTCTAATTCATTTCTTTGCGTTGGTTCAAAATTTAGGACCACATGTGGTGAGCAAAGACTCCATATATGTAGATTGATATTTGTCCCGACAGATTACGTCTGCAGGTCAGCTCCTTTTCCCACCTAATTTTCTTCATTAATTTATGTCAAATAACTTTTTACTCTCGTGCTTACGTTATAGAATACCCTATTTTCTATGTTATTCATTCCAATAGTGTACCAAACTAAATGGTAAATCATTTCATTTTTTATTCTTTCATGAGATTGTGTTGAATCGTGGAGCGTAATTTTTTTGGACTTAACCGTGGTTATATTAGTACTAGAAGCTGAGTACAAATTTGGTAAACAAATTAATAGAAATAAAACCGACATCTACTTGACATATGTAATACATATCTGAGGTATCGTCGTACCAAACCACTAAGGCATGGTCTCTCGTCGAGTTATGGGAGAAACTATAAACTATGTATATGTTTCAGTCAAAAAAAAACTATAGGCTATGTATCTACTTGTGTTCATGTCTACTAGCTACCTCGAAAAGTTTTGGTCTGCTAGCTAATTAAAGCGATCATAATTATACACCACACAAGTAGCATAACATATTATTATATATGCTCACCACAGTTCATCGATGATGTCTAGCTAGCAATTATTTTTTCTTTATTCACGCACAGTGCACAAGCTGGGAAAGCTTTTCCATAACAGGAAATTAAGAATCACAAAAATCTTCATTTTTAGGAACGGCTACACTAATATAGCTCACACTTTCTAGCTGCCTTTCTTTCTTTCAAGTTATATGGTAAAGGAAGAGGTTAGGGTTCAACTGCTTTCAATTTAATACATGCTACATTTGCTACCTTCAAAGAAATACAACGTTTTGGTGTTTTGATCAACAACATTCAAATAACTTAAATGCAAATTGAAAGCAGTATCCCTGGCTACTTATGGGGGACCTGAAACTTAAATTCAGTTTTTGAGTTTTTAATTGATTTAACAAACAAAATTTTCAATATATATTTTTTAAGTTTATTATATATTTATTGCGGTCTCAACAACTAAAAATTATATCTACAGTAAAACTTCTATAAATTAATAATGTTGAGACTTTGAAATGTTATTAATTTATAGAAATATTACTTTACAAAAAATTTCTTATTTGGATTTTTTCTATTTTGCATTTTTTATTTTTAAAATAAAAATATTTGATTTTAGCGTATGTACATTATTTAAATTTTAGAATTTTTACTTTTATATTATTTTATTATCTTATTTGGTGTATTTTTTTATGTTTCATAGAATCGTTACGTGGTTTTCGATATAATTTAACTAAATATTATCAAAATATATTGAAATGTTAAAAAATAAAATAAAAAAGTATTTTTACTGTAAATATAAAACCAACAATATAATGTTAGATTGTACTTATATAAAATTATATATAGGTAGATTATTAATTTATGATTTTAATGAGACTATATATTTACATGGCAGTTTTTAAAATATTATTATCTTATTATTTTATCAATTTATGTTATATTTTACACCGATCTAAGTTGGAACCGGTAAACTGTATTAATTTATAGAGTTAATAGTCTATCGAATATTATTTATAGAGGTTTTTCTATATATATATATATATATATATATAAGGCATCTCAAATTGTCCGCTATAAAACTGTCAGAGTTTGCTACAGAAAACCTGTTCAATTGCATTATGATTATTCCTGCTAAATATAAAAGAATACTAACAAAGGCATACACTTGTTATTAATCATGGTTTGTTATATCACTATTGACATGGCTTAGAGTTTAAGGAAAAGCTACCTAGTGAGTAATTAGTGACTCTAGGGCATTAGTTTACCTGTAAAAGTGATATCCAAGTGTTGTTTTGCCCCATTCCTTTTCTGAAAAAGGTTTTAATTAGGGATTTTTCGTACAATTACACAGCGTAAGCATCTGAAAAAACAGAAAGACATAAGAGTGAAAGTGGTAGTGGGGAATCAATTACATTTCGTACAATTTGTGTGTTCACTGCTCCCTACCCTTTTATAGAGGTAACATGGGTCGGACTCTGAGAGGGTAAAAGCAACTTAGCGTTGGCTAGCCAAATAGACTAAGGACAAAGTTTGATGTTAACTTAATCTAACCTGCATTACTATTTATAACGACAATGTGCAGAATTTGAGAGAGAATATTCCAAAAGTAGAAACCTAGGTCAAGTGGTTTGCCTCTAGCGTCTTCTTTTCATATATAAGCGGGAAGTTTTGAATATAATTTTACTATAATACATACTCACAATCTAAGATCGATATGTTTTCTTTTCATATATGTGTGTATTCTAAATCTTCAAAACTCATCCAAACTAAAAACACATATATGATTTAGGATAGTTAACCTTAAATGTATATGTCAGTTTTCCGCCTTTGCAAATTGTATTATCTAGACTTGACCTGGTTTGATTTTTTTTTCTGCCAAGGTCAATCCTAGCATGTTAAAATTTTTTGTAACAAGTTACAAACCCTTTACCATTTTATGGAATTTCACATTTTTGAAAAATAAATAAAGAAATTGTATTAATCGAATCCGAAAGTATCTATATTTCTTTCTTATTTGGTTCTCCATCATACGATATAAAACGAAAATAGTGTATAAAAGATCTTTGCCATTCTCTACAATTCTCACGTGAATGACGGCTCAGATCGATGAGGTCTTTTTGGCAACTTAACATCGTTAACAAGATTGGACTAGGTATATTATATAGTACAAATCAACAAAACCAGATAGATATAATAATGTGGCATGCCTTAGACACAAGTCACACAACGTCCTGTTAAAATCTAGCAAGATCTAAGCACAACTATAACAACTTTCCTCTTCTTAATCTGTGAACCGGCTTATGTTTTAATTATTTGTTGTTAATATATCAACGTAATATTAGAGCCATTATCACTCTAGGTCATAACAAGTGGGCGGAAAATGGGTTTTCTTCCTTGCACATTCACATGCAGTTTTGATTGGTGAGCGTGTGTTTGACACACTTTTTACTAATTGTTTTATTTTTTCGGGGATGATGCATGCATATGTTTGGTTCACGAACATTCCTCTCTAGATTTTCACGCCTCATCACCGATTCCATAATATCATTAATTATATTATCGTGGTTAGTGAAAGGGATACTGATCAACTCTGGCTTTATCATGTTGGTACGTTGGGTTTAAGAATCGATCGCATCTGAAGTATTTTCTTCTGATTAAATCCGCACACGAATCCTTGTAATTTTACTGAGAAGAAAGAAAGAGTCATTTTCACCATCATCATGGGAAAACAAGGTTAATTCATTGTAGGTGCTTTCTCAATTTTGGTAGATTAATAGACAAAAAGGAAATTAACAAGATTGTAAAGTTTTCTTTTAATATACTATCCAAAAATCATTTAAGCCATTTGAACATTTTTTAGTAAACTCTAGAGGATCTAACTGAAGTTGTTATTAGAACAAATTGATGAGAATTTATAAATTGAAAGAGTGTTACTGATTCTCATGAGAATTAATACTTAAGACTTACATATAATTAAGTTGAATGAATCTAATTTATTAACTATTATAAAAATATATTAGAGATAATCATATTTTTTTTATTTTAAGACTTGATATATATCAAACATTTTCTATATTGTTTGATGATTTTTGAATATCATTAATATTTCTCAATAATGTTTTTTTCTGGTTTATATTTGTGTTTAAATAGATGTGTGTAGTGAAATGTTTATAAATAAAATTGTACTGAAATCAAAATTTAAACTAAACGAAAATGCACCACTTAAAAAAAAAATGCACCACTTTCATAGGAAAGCTTCTTTTACTTCTTTCTTTTTGTGGGTGGCCTCTTTCTAGCCACATCACATGCACGAGGATCGATGCTTCCTCTCCTCTGACTCGATCATATCTTTTGTTTTTGCTATATAAGTGTAAAACTATGATTGACCAAAGCTTCCTTCAGTTCTACAATTGCTTTCCTTTTACTAAATTAAGAAAAAGTTTTTCTTTATAAAAACAATAGACACATTAATAAATATTTCAGTGTATATTACAAATATGGAACTGTACAATGACCCTATATTCCTTCACTTTTTAATGTATTTATATATTCTCATATACATTATGTGGCATAAATAAATAGTTTTCATTTTATTCAAGTGGGTAGTGTGGAAAAGCTCTTTATCCACCACCCTCTCTCTCTATACACCATACCAAACCATTCTCTCTCTTTTTTTTTGTGAACAACTCTCTCTCATTTTTTCTTTATTGTTATTTTTGTGTGTAACAGTAACTTTTAGGCACTACAAATAACACCATCTTCCTCTCCTTATCCCTCAAATCCACTTCCAAAGCCTCTCATCTCCCCTCCTACTTCTCTCTCTGCTTCATTGTTTCCATATAACAACAAACCTCTTACAAAAATCTTTTTCCAAAACTCTTAAGCAATGGCAACTGTTGTATATCAAGGTTTTCAGTCTCATTTTGAGTCTCAACACTTTGAGCCAAGATCTCTAAGACTCAGACTCTCTTCTCCCAACAATCTTCACTCATCCACACCTCTCAAATCCCATTTACTAGACTCACGCATCACCACACCAGACAACATCTCTACCACTAATGCAACCTCTTTGCCCTCATCTCCTCCTAACTCGGTCTCTAAGCCAGAAAGCTGGAGCTTCCTGGAGTCTATCACAAACTCGAGCTCTGATGATAAAGACAAGAAGACATTATTACCATACGTTCATTCTCCATCTTCTCGTAGAACTCTCAGCGATGAGAGTTTAGCATTGTGCACTGAAAGCCTCGGTAGCGAGACAGGCTCTGACGTCATTAACGATCAAGATTTTCTCTCGGTTACCACCGAGAGTGAAACTAGAACAACTATATCAAGATCATCACGACAAGATAGGAAGAGGAACACGATGGCTTCTCTTCCACCTCCTTTGACGAGTATGAGAGGTTTAGATAGCATTCAAGTCAAGTCTCACCGTGAGAATGGAAGATTGGTGATGACGGCCATGCAACCTCTGCCGCGCGATCGATGCTTACAAGACCGAAGTAATGGCTGTGTCCGACTAGCTATCTTGATTGATTCTGATGACCATATAGAGACAGAGATCAAAGAATAAACCATTGATATGAAGAGAGATAATGAAGAAGAGACTCCACAATATGAGGAAGAAGAAGAAGAAGAAAAGGAAGTGATGGTTGTTGAGAACATTCAAAGATCAAAAAGATGTCATGAAGGTGATCTTGAAAACAGAGGATTTCTAAATTGGGAATCTTTCTGTGTTGCCACTTCCTAAAAAAAGAATATTTCGGATCTCTCTGTTATCACATGAGTTTCACAAACTTTTTTTTTACTGCATTGTGTTTTCGTTTTTGTATGATTAACAACCGTTTTTTTATCACTCTATATGTTTATTAGAGATGGTATTAAATCCTGGATTACAGACAAAAGACCTTGTTTTTTTTTTAATTTTATTTTGTCAGTGACCATGGTTATTGATTTAATACGTAAATATTTAAGGTTGTTTACGGTTTATTAAAATACGATGTCCATATTTAAAAAAAACATTTTATCAACTAACTTGTAAATTCAATGTGTAATAAAACCCAAATAATAGTTGTTATTTTTTTACTTTATGATACTTATTATATTAAAAAAAAAGATACAACCAAAAAAACAAATCCAGATTGCCCATAAAACAAAGTCCGGGAGTTTAATTTATGGAAAACCAAAACCTGAAAGATTAAGGGAAACGAAAAAACCAATTGGTAATTACTTAATTTGACAAATTCTCATAAAACAAAATATGAATTTGGATGAAGAAAAAACTAATGAGAAGAAATGGGGGTCGAAGCACTTTGGTTGCAGAGTGGTGAACTGTCACTTAATAGGGTTAAGTGATATTCGATGAAATGAAATGATCCGAAGGAAGTGGCAGACTAAGGATTTGAAGAGGACGACTGTACCACGAAATTGCCTTCATCATGGGTAGGGCTGGGCATTTTATCCGTTATATTTGATTCGATTCATTATTCGTTTCGATTCGATCCGAAAATTCCGGATATCCGTAAACTTTCGAATCAAAGCAAATACTAAAATTCAATATCCGTTAAAATCGAAGCAAATCACAAATAGTAAAATTTTGGGAAGCGGATATCCGATCCGATCCGTAAATATATAAATATATGTATATCTTGATTATAATTAACATTTTAAATGTATAAAATCATATAATTATTATTCTAGCATATGATTTTGAACAATTCTATTCAAATTATTACTTATATAAAATTATTACATAAAAAGAAAGAAAGAAAATTATGACAATTATATTTTTTTCTTAAATTTTGTGTTATTATAATTGTAACTTAAACTTAAAAAAATACAAAATATATAAATTCACTAGTTCTTTTAAGTTTTATTTTATATATCATGCAAAAAACTATTTTTGCAAAGAAAATTTGTATCAAAATCTTAAGATTATTTGTATTAATCAAAATGGATGAGATATCCGTAAATATTCGTAAATATCCGCAAATATCTATTTATTTTTCGGATATCCGTTTTTCCGGATATCCGTATTTTTTCGAAGCAAAGCAAATACCAAAATCAGATATCCGTAACATTCGAAGCAAATCACAAATACCTTAAAAAACCCGGATATTCGATCCGTGCTCACCCCTAATCATGGGAACACACATCACTTCCCTCTGTCTATTCTTGTTTCTCCACGTTTTCATTTCATCTTTGAGAAGTTGAATAATACTCTTATCTCTTCTGACTTTAATTTTGTATTTGATTGGACATTCTAAAGGAGACTCCACTCCATTCTCTCGCCATTGTCTACAATCTTAAGAAGCATTCATTTTCATCACAATTGATCATATATTATATATTTCGGGAAAAATAATGAAAATAGTACATCATACATTATCTAAATATATTTTGGAAATATCTTATAAAAATATAGAATAATACAAAACAGAGAAGGGTATAAAATGCTAAACGAAAAAGGACTATTCACTATTGTTCCGTACAATAACGACGTCACATCTAACCAAAAGCTCTCCGAGTCTCCGCCTCTGGTCCGCTTGCCCCACAGTCCACAAGATAAATGGCTTTTGTTTGAAAAAACAACTGTATTCCCCCTTTATTTGTAGTTTAAACTTAACTAATTTATTAAAAAAAGATATAATTAAGTGTTAGAAAAAAAATAAAGAGGTAGAATAACCACACTAAAGCTTATTAGAACGATGAGATGCCATTGTTCAAAGAAAAAAGAGAGATAAGAGGTGCCACTTTTACCTATTTTAAAATGAATCATAGTTGTTTTTTTTTAACAAAGAGAATGAATCATAGTTACAAGTTACTTTGATCAAGACGAGATTTCTTAATCTGCTCTGGTCTGCTCTGATCTTCGACTCAAATAAATTACTAAGTCTCTTAATGTTTCTTTTTTTTTTCCTATGGAGGGATTGACAGTCGATGAGATAAAATACAATATTGGCCAATTTTTTTTTTTACACCCGATCGATAAACCATACGGTCCATACCTAATGTGGATTGTGTATTGAGAATATACCGTAGAAATTCTACAAATTCATACTTGAAAAAATAATAAATATGTAAATTAATAAATTTATTCGGTCTAGATCCAGATCGGTTCAAAATATGATATAAATAAATAAATAATAAGATAAGATTTTTTAAAAAAAAATATCTAAAAATATATACAATCCCACTAAAATCATAAATTAATAGTTTATATATATAAGTATATTATAAAAATAAAGAAATCTAAAAATGTTTTTTTTTATAAATTAATAACTCTATAAATTAATGAAAAATTTAAATCCTAAAATTATTAATTTATAGAGTTTTTAATGTATATGTAGAATCCATGCCTTTTCCATAAAAAATATGTTAGTTTTTTTTTCTTTAGTATTTACTTATTTTTATTTGTCTTCGACCTTTTTACACTTTACAATGGAAAGAATTGCTTTTCTATAAAAGATAAGAACTATGTTAGACCCATATTCACCAAGAAAATTAACAAAAAAAAAATGTATTCATAACTAGACTAACACGTTTAGTAACTGACTAGTAAGAGCCATCTCCAGCGGTCAAAACCTCTTTTCAAGTTCTTTTTTTTGTTTTCAAGTTCTGAGTGATACAAATCATTATATTTTATAGAATTTAAATTAAATTATAAGTTGTAGATGCCTTTTTAAAAAGTGACTAGTGGAAGATAACCCTGTAGATTTTAGGGTATGAAGTGATCTTCTCTGTGGTTGGGTTTAGAGATACAGGTTCCATCCTCTCTTTTCTAATTTTGCATTTGTTCTACTATTTTAATGGATGTAATACTTCTTTAAAAACTTACATTGGAACTGCCCTAAGTAAGAAAAATAGAATATATTTATCCTTTGATATTAGAAGGTATTTCAAATTCGAATTATGCACTATGGTATACTTTCACACTAGTCCACTCTATATCATTAAGTGTTGTGGTTCCATAGTCAATTGTATGGCTTATTAGAAAAAGCATTATATGATATTACCAACTTTTTTCGAAAATATGTTATAACCAACTTGCATGCAAGCACATGGTTTTACTTTGTAAAACCAAAATATTGCATAGCTTTTCCTTAGTTGTTGTCTACGTCTTTGTTACATAAAGCTAAAACTAAATGACCATGCTACGTAAAAACCCACCACATCTAAACTCCAAAGTCTTTTTTCTTTCTTTCATGACGACGCCTTTGTTGCATATTAAAAACTTACCACTATTTTGTACTATTGTATGATGTATCCCAAGAACTAATTATCTAGTTTATAATCTAATTTTAGTGGGATCTGAATTTGATGTATACGTGCGATCCTTTTAACGTTTTCTTTTATGCAAAGTGTTTTTTTTTTTTTTTTTTGGTGCAAAGTAGTTTGCATGGGATCTGCGTCTTCCATTTTCGCAATGTATTTCTCTTAGTATATTTTAACTTGGTACATAATGAAACAACTAGATTTTGACCCGCGCTTGAAAGCGCGGACATTTTTTTGATTAAAAGTTTATATAATTAGGTTTTGTCTTTATTTAAAGTATGTTTTGGTATAAAATCAGTAATCCAAAATTTGTGGTGATGATTGCTTTGCATTAGTTTTTAGTTTCAATTTTTATTTTTAGATTTGTTTTTAGATTTTGGTTTTTGGTTTTTAATTTTTAAGTTTCTAGTTTTGATTTTCAGCTTTTTGTTTGGGTTTTTAGCTTTTAGATTCGTTGAGTTAGTTTGAACTCATAATTACCAACAAAACAAATCCCAAAGAATCGAACATCTAATTTAAAACTAAAAAGATGACAATTTTTATTTTAAAAAATTGCAATAGTTTATTTTGTAAATAAACAAAACAAAAACAAAAATATAACATGCGTTTTCAGCTTTTGGTTTTGGATTTTAATTTTTAGATTTGGTTTTTAGTTTTGCTTTACATTTATTTTTTTAAATTAGTAAATTATTTAAGAAAAATAAAAAAATAAACTATTATAAAAATTACCATTGAAATTTATCAAGACAGAGTGATTGTTATTTAAAATAAAAAATATTAACATGTTTTAAAGTACATGATTTAGATAAATGATTAATAATATATAATTTTGTTTTGTTAAAATATTAAATACTTTTGGGCCTTAAAATAATAATTGATATTTTGATCCATTAAGGTAGAACATTTATTCAATGTTTTTTGGAGTTTTCTTTAATACTAAGCCCAAAACTCAAACTAATTAATTTGTCATAAAAACAAAAGTAAGCCCAAAACTCTATTCCATAAATAACTGCCGGTTTAAATTAGGTAATGCGATTCAATCATTTATATGACTAATATTATTTGTAACACTCTAGAAAATGTCCAAATTTAAATAACAACTTATATCAATAGATAAAAATAATGACTCTATTTTAATATAGTAGATATAAGGCGCCAGTTGGGTAAAAAAAAAAAAGCGCCAGAAGATACGCAGACTAATATCTAATCGATACATAATCCATATAGAAATCAATGTAAACTAAAAAAAAATAAAAATCAATGTAAACTGGAATTTTTGGATATTACGGTAAACTAGAATTACCGTGTGTTTGCTGGTTAATGATGTTTTTAATGAAAAAATGATTTTGCTAATGGACTAGTCAGTAAATTCGACTGTACCATTTAAAAAGACCAAAATATATTTTTATGTGAACAAAGAAACAACAAATGTAATTTTCACTGCATAATGCTTGAGGACTTGCACAATTAAACTCGCATTTAATAAATTAAAAATATGGTCTCTCATAAAAAAGTAAACTACACCAAAGTTTATATCCACTTCTGAATATATAAACGCAAAAGCCATGCCTACGTTCATGCGATGTCCACTTCCGACCCTTTTTTAATCGATCTAATCCATTGATTAGCCCCAAGGAACCTGCTCTGATTCATGACGCAATCATGTATGGTATGTTACACAATTAGGTCAGAATTTATAATATACAACTATGGAAATAATTTATATAAAGAGAGAAAGGATGGATTGCAATTT